CCTGTACACTTAACTACACTACTTTTGAAAATTGCTTCTCGAAAAGGTCATTTTAGTTTTAAAGTAATCTAGGGCAGCATCCATTTAATGATCTATACTTCCACGTATACTGTAGATGGAGAGACACGCCTATCGAGATAGATAGCTATCACTTAGGTTATGTAAGTTATCTTAGTCACCTTGATTGACCAATCGGCCATGTTCTTAGTGAACTTTGTCTCATAATTGACAGTTTCTTTCGCTCATGGAAGAACGACCCAGAAAAAAAAAGGTTCTACCTACAGTCAAAATTTAACACCGATTGGGCGCCTATGGTAATAATATTCAACATACTGAACCTGAAGTTTTCAAAATTGAAACAGTTAACTGAAATTAGTGAAGAAGTTGCGATAAGAAATCCTCGTTGCCAGAATTTCAATTGTGATAAGAAATCCTCGTTACCAGAGTTTCCATTAATGACTTGGTTACGTCATTAAATACAAGCATAACAAAAATAAATTATTGATCCATAGTTTCTAGTTAGATGGGTTCTGGTTTTGTTTTCCAAGAGCATGTTTTCACTCCAAACGCATCTTACGCCTTTAAAACTATTACGACACTGAGATACGTAGATGATACATAAAGGAATGTGTTTGTGTAAAATACCCTCAATGAGAAATCACTCCCTTCTCTAGTTCATTGTCGTTGACTTTTAATAGAAACTTATCAATTAAAGCATTCTTTGGAAAAACGTGTTGACATAAAATCGACGTCACAATATGACGTCATTTTTTCTCACATACGTCATGTTTATTTACTTACGAATTCATTGTGATTCCTTATTTTTGGAATCATAGTAGTTGCAAGCATGTGAAAAGTAGGTTAAAGTTCAAACTGAATCGTTTTTTTTATGACATTTAAACTATCTCTTTCGTTATTTATCTGAAGAAAATCATTAATCTGTCGTTTGTTTACGAGAATGAAGAGGACTTGCTTTCCTCTTTGATCGAAACATCTGCCGTGACAATATGAAACATCCATCGTATCAATATTCACAGTCTTACAAGTGTTAATTTTCTGGTGTTTTTAGAAGATTCTGTCGTTCGAGCATTCTATAGTTTAAAAGTGTTCGTGTATATTTTATGTTATTCACAGAATTATCTATCGAAACTCCTGAACGCATACATTTATTGTCAAAATGAAATAACCAACTGACTTAAAAGAAGTTACTATGATTAGAAACGGAATGAATTATAGCCGCTCTTTACTCGTAACATGAACGTGTATAGGTCTCGGGCATCTCCAAGGGAACATTTTAAAATCGAAATTAAGAGTACAAAAATAAATAAATATACACATAAAACCTTTGGAAATAAACAACTTTCCATATAATCAAGTAGCGTCCGGGCGGCGGGTTTTGCCCCATGGTTTCACTCTATTTATGAAAGCTCAGCCTTCAACCCGTCGGCTGATATGACAACTTTTAACACAATATGTCGTCATATTTTCAAGCTAAACCTTGATCAGAGACCTCTTAGGTTCAAGTATGGCCACCCGTAAGGCAGAACTGCTGTCCTTATGTGAAACAAGAGCTAAACGACCAGATCAGAGACCGCTTAGGTTCAAGGTATGGCCACCCGTAAGGCAGAACTGCTGTCCTTATGTGAAACAAGAGCTAAACGACCAGATCAGAGACCGCTTAGG